GAGTCCGGTGTTTCTCTTAAATTAGATAATAAATCTGTGGGTGAAGGTGTAGGGGATAAATGAGAGGTTCTTAATTCAAAGGCTGATTCTGTAAAATCCTGAGAAAAGTCTTTGGATGGGAGCTCAGCTGGACTGCTGTTTTGATTTAAGTTAGCAGCTTTTGGCTCAGGTGTGTCTTGTGCTACTCCAAACTCAGGTAAAAAATGAGGGTTCACCGATTCACAGCACGACTGGCTGATACAGTTTCTGGGTTCAAGAGAGGGACTTGGAGTTAGAGACTGATGTGACGGGCTGCTGTTGCTGTCTTTGAATGAAGGAGTTGTTCTTATTGGTTCAGGTTCTGAAAGCGTTTGTTTTGGATCAGGTGAGGACGATGAAGGCCTTTTTTCAGCTGAGGAGGAGGACAAAGATGATAGTCTTCTCTCTGGACTGAAGATACAGGGGCTGTTATGTTCAGGAGAAGGTGTCCTCTCACCAGTGCTGGGATTTTGGAAAGAAGGGCTTGCTGTGCTAAGCTGAGGTGCTGGTGATTTACTTCTTGGTTGTGAATTTGCGCTGCTGTCCTCAGAAACTTCTGGATGACTAGAGCTCAGCCCTTTGGCCTCCAGAAGCCTCTGCAGTGGGGGACTGTAAAGCTTGTCTCTCGAATCTTCAAAGCCTTCCTCGCCTTCACTGGAGCCCTGTGCTGTGTGGTAAGAGCCAGAGGAATCGTTCAGCTCGTCCAACAGAGGTGACGCAGCAGCCGTCCCATCCACCTCCCTCTGGGAAGGGACAAAGGGCCCTACAGCGGGGCTGCTTGAGAGAGACGCCGACTCACAGTCGTCTCCGAAAATGTCACACAGGCAAGTGGTCTCGGAGATGGCGCTGCGCTGAGAAGGGATGTTGATAATGTCGAATATTTCAACGTGGTTGGGGGTGCCGTCACGATGGCAAAGGGAAAAGGTGCGGGGGGCACTACGCAGGAAGGAGTAGCTGTCCCCCTGGAGAGTCCAGCTGTCCATTGCTAGTCCACAAGCTCCAAATTCTCACTGTGGCCAGTCCAGTCTGCTCCTCTTGCCTGTTCTGGGCTCCGTTCCTGGACTAGAAATAAGATACAGTCATCTGCACATTGTGTAGCTCATTCATTTGTAGCACCAGTAATAGCTGATAAATATCTGTGAGAGGCAAAAGTATAGAAATTACAAATGTAGAACCTAGAATTGGATTGATTCCTTTTACTTAACTTCCCTAGAGTGAAATTATCTTTCGGTGCCCTAATGTTCTAATAATAACTCCATCTACAATACCTTTGTTATGTAACTTGTCATTAAACCAATACAGCAAGCTATATGAACATTTATTTTGACTCCAGATCTTTTTGTGCTACAGACTCAAAATCTCACAAGAAGAGATTTTGAATCTCACAAAGAGATTATCCTAGATACATAGAGTAACAATATTTAAATTAACTTTCACCAACACATATCCCTTATCCAAACTTTAGAAAAAGCCCTCTCCTTGTGCAAGTAGACAGAGAAAGGCTGATACTCTACCTTTAGCCACTGATGAAGACTTCCCAGGGACATTGAATTCTTCTTTGTTGTGGTATCCGTCCCAAATCGGACAAACTACCCGTTCAATCCACAAAACACCCCAAGCTGACAAAACCTCTCTTCATAAGCTGAATCCAGGACTGAGAAGATCCGTCCAGCTCTGTCTGCCGGTGGCCCACTGACAGCACAGTGTCAGAGGCACTGCCATGTATCAGACTTGAATAGAAAAAGCAAAGAGGGGCATCTAACTCAGACATATTACATCTCCTGGACTGTATTTCTGCCCCTCCCTTCTGCACTGGCAACAGGGAAAGTGCTTACTGTATCTAATGTGGATCTCTTTTCTTTTGCAGACTGGGGTTTGGTTGGGCACAGACTTTCCTGTGTGAGCTGGGATGGGGTGCGGCACAGGGGTGGGTGGGTGTATAGTTAGCAGCAGGTGCTGATCCAGCCAGGACGGATGAGTGCGCCTGGAATCTGACACTTATAGCCAGCTCAGTCACAGGGCTCCTCTATATATAGACCAATACTATCGGGGCCAGATAGCCATAGTCATTTCACTGTGTGCTGGAGGAGAAAAAAAAGGGAAAAGTGGAATTTGAAGTACAGCACACACATTGTCCAGGTGTTAAATACATGCAACTTAACTTACACCTTTGCTTATCTGTGTGTATCTGGGGAAAAGATCAAAGTTTAGCACAGATTATCCAATTTTGGTAATAACTCACATGCAGACCTCTGCTGAATTGCATTTTTGCAGCATGCAACAATTAAAGGTCTTAAACTTTCTACATCCTGCTGTTTTCCCCTAATAATATTGTTAAATATTAAGAGCCATGATCTTCGTAGCCTATGAACATCCTTAGCTTTAGTTAAACATTCATGAGTGCCCATCAATCAAATGCATGTAAAGTGTTAAGCCAAACCTACCAAACAAAAAGGGGTCATGTCATTTTACTGTTCTTATTACTGTTGCTACAACTGTATTGCCCAATGAGTCTCAGGTTGCCTAAACATGTTGGTTGGTAGTGAGTGTGGATAAGCCCTCTGTCCCATACCTAATACCTCATAAGATTATCATTCAATCTCAGTCATTAAGTCATCCGTAGGAAGTGGAAAATGTTTGAGCACACAGGACTGTGATTATGTTTGTACAGTGGAACGTTAATGACAGGTTTTGTCTATGGTATTGTAATTTCCACTAAGCCTATTCTATTGTATTAAGCGACACACATTGCTAAATTAAATTTTATGGTTGACTGTGGAATTTGGAGTCACTGACCTCTGTGGAGGTGTTTACTGTGGCTCTAATCACACAATATAAATACAGATATATGCTTTTTTTCCAACAGTCATTGCGAAGATATCATGTGATTTTATGTGCAATGGGTTGCTGTAAAAAACAAACAAAACAAAACTGGGAATATCACTAGGGAAATGTGTAAAATATGGCTGTTCAGACCCATAAAGTATAAACCGGTGGACAGAAATGCATGCGTACTTGCATCAATGCGTAAGGGTGCACTGGGTGTGAGATAAAGGGTAAAGGAGGGCTGATAAATTTGAACCTCTGCGGTTATGGCAGTGCAGCAGACTGGAGGAGGACTCAGAGGGAAAGAATGATGAGCACCTCGGCAATGGGGAGCTTTGGTCTACATCACTGATAGATTAGTCACGCCATACTGCTCAAGTCCAAAGACCTCACCCACCCTTGCCCTCATAAGTTGGGCATGAACAATAAGCTCCAGTTGTGCTCAGATGTTTACAGGCATTCATCACGGGCATGGATGTCGTGGGAATTTGGTTTTTTTTAAAGATTTCTTTGAACTGTTCTTTTTCCAGGTTGGAATGATTGTACAAAATGCATCTTTAATGGCTTAAAAAACATGAATTTAGTGCACCAGTTTGAATATATTTTGGATTTCCTCTCATTTGCATGGGGTCGAAGCATACATGCTCAAATCACTAATATTTGGTTAATTGTCCAGTATCAAGTTGCACCTCCATTAGATGCTTTTGGTAGCTATCAACAAGCTTTTGGCATAATTGTGCCTGGATATTTGACCACTCTTCTCAGCATGTTTGGTATACTTCATCTAAATCGGTTAGTTAACTGGCAAAGACTCTGCTTTCAAGCTTATTCCACAACCTGTCAATAGGGTTGCAATCAGGGCTTTGGGAAGGCCATTCCAGAAGCTCTAATCAGCCTGTTTATCCATTTGATGTGTGTTTGTTATCACTGTCCTGTTACAACACCCAGTTGTTTTCAGGTTTCAACCATCCAGCTGTTGATTTAAGGTGGAGTTAAAGAATTTAGAGGCAGTCCTCCTCCTTCATTAATCTAACCATTTTGTGCAATATACCAGCCCGTGGCAGCAAAATAGCCCCAGAGCATGATGCTAACACTACCATGCTTGACAGCTGGTACAGTGTTCTTAGATTGAAAGCCTCACCTTAACTCATCCAAACATACCCCTTCTCACTGTGGCCCAGTAGCTCATTATCTTTCTCGCCTGACCATAAAACTTTCCTTCAGAAGGATTTGACTTGTCCATGAGAGCAAACGTCAGTCAAGCTTGAAGGTGTCATTTTTGGAGGAAGGGCCTTTTTCTTGGTGGGTACCCTCTCATTACACGAAAATTCAAAATAAATATAAAATTTAAGCACCCAAATCTTGTGGTTTTTTTTTAAAAAGTATTTAAAGATGCTTTCTGTACAATATTCCACCCCTAAAAAAGAATAACTCAAAGAAATCATTAAAAGCCCAAAATTACCATGATATTCATGCCCAAATTGAGTGCATGTAAACTTCTGACCTCAACTGTACATGCATAAAAAAAAACTAGAACCTTGCACAGAGCTTGGTACGGAGGTTGATGTTCAGTGTTCACATGCAGAGCAAATGCCAAATGCTGTCTGCTCACAGCACTCCCTTGTGTGTGAAGATAAACACGAATTACTTAAAAAAATCATTACAGGTAGGTTACTTTTGCTGCTGGTGTTCTAAGTGAGGGATATGATGTTAAACAAGGCTCTAGTCTCATGATGGGCTATTTAAGTGCCAGTATTTATGACAAACAGAAAGAATATAAACATATATATCACATTTCAAATCTATCTTTTTTGAACTGACCTAGTTGCTCTTTTAGGATGTGATTAACTTTGCACAGGCAGGGGCAACAGTAGCCACACTTCCAGCCCTCTCTCTCATTATTATTTGTTTTAATTATAACTGATTTATTAAAGCTTCGCCAGAACTAAATGACACTAAAGGTTGAGACATAATATTTAAAAGGTGATATGATAAATTTTCTACAAATAAACTCAGAAACTAAAATTGGGTTAACTATTTAGATTTGTTAATATAGATCTAAATAATAATATAGTATCCCGTGCTAACCACTTAACCTATGAACAGCATACAAGTATTAAAGTCTTGTACCCTTGAAGTCGTGCTTGTCTGTCGCAGAGACACTGACTTTTATTTTGAAACGATACGTTAGCGTAGGATGCGACGCAGGAAGATCCGCATTACGGTGCTGCCGAAGTGTTGTCATAACACAGAAGTGGCTAACGCTAATGTTTGCTAAGTAATTAGCACGGCAGGTGAGTGCATTTTTTTATTTAAAAAATATCTGTCAAAATTCAGCTGAACCGCGACGTGTGTGTTGACTGTTAGGATAAGGCAAAATAGTGCAGACAAGCGGGTTGACATTCTCTCCTGAAATTATTTGGGCCTTGTCAGTTAGCAGATCGCTAACATCTACTAGTTAACTAGCTGCTAGCAATGACGAGCTTTTGTAGCCAGCTACCGACTGCGATTCCGTTTGTTTATGTTAGCTGTGCGGCGGCTTGTGGGTTTTTTTTCTTAGTTAACATATTAATTAATTACGTAATAATTTATGGTACTTAAAAAGAGTATTTTGAGTAAAAAATAACAACGTAGGAAACTTGTCATTAAAACGTTAAACGAGAAGTCCGTTTGAGCCTTAATATTAGCTAGCTCCTTTACGGTAGGTGGACATATTCTGTTGTCGGCTTACTAGCGGCGAGCTACGGCAAAGCGTTACCATTAAGTAAAGCTTTTCTATTTAAAAAGTCTTAATTTCAGCATGCAGACATGTAATGTTTAATATCATCACTTGGTTGTTAAATTACAGTTACAGCCGAGACGTAAATAGCAGGCCGCAGCATACATTGTGTGCTTGTTTGTGATGTTGTTAGGCCTTGCTAATGTTATCACGTAGGCCAAACTTTGAATCGGGGTAGGACCGAACAGCTGTTGGAGGTATTTTAAGACATTATTACTGATCGGGCATACTTGTTTTAGAGGCAGCAGTGAGATAGTCATGGTATTGTCAGTGTGAAATAAAATTTGTTAATATTTCTGTCATTAAAAACCTGTAGTATTTTATCCTAAATCTTGTGTTTAGCTTTTAAAATGTCAGATAAAAAAAAAAACTTTGTTCGGCTTATTTAATTACAAATGTTATTTGTTAAAACGTGCCTTTATAGAAATGCACATTTGTGTTCACTGAGAATCCCAAAGATTCTTTAGAACTTTTAAATAACTTAAAATTAATTTAACTTGGGGATTCCCAGTATGCAGCCATTCTCCAATTTTCTGTAAATGGTACTATTTATCGATGGTCATGGCAATTTGCACATTAAAGAACATGAAACTGACCTCAGGTAATTGTGCCAGTTTTGTAAGTATGCAAATGCTTTGTTATAAGGCTGGGGAACCCTGTAGTCAGTCTTAAGAGACTGAAGAAGACATGTGGATGAGTGACAAAACATTTCTCTCATTGAAAATGCAACTTCCAGATGATATGCAGTGCTCTGCAAGAGCTACCCCTCATTCCATTAGAATCATGTCATTTTTTTTTTCAATTAGTCTAGTTCTCCAGGTTTTCTAAAGGGCATCTTTTACACTCATTTTTACATTTCTTTTTGTTGTTGTTGTTGTTGTTAGCTAACAGTGACCTACGAATGACTCGAGTGTAAAAAGGCACCAACAGAATCAGTATCAACAAGTTTTTTTCAGTGTTGTATCTACACATGAGTGAAAATTTGGCAATGAACCAATTTAGGATTGCACCTTTAAGCACTTTGTTAGTAGGAGCCTGTTGCAGAAACACATAAGTTGTTGAATCAAAGTTAGATTTTTTTTTTTTGGTTCAAATCATGGTTGTTATTTACAGAGTAGGTAGGGCGAGAATTTCAACTGTCTGTAAAACATGGTGGAGGCTATCTGGGTTTGCATTTCACCCAGTGGTGTTGGAGATCATGTCAAAATTGCTGGAATTTGAACCACCGTGAAATAACATGCGATTGGAAGAACTTAATTTTTCACCATGACAATGATCCCAAACACACTGCCAGTACAGTAAAAGCACAGAATGCCAACATCCAAAGAAGAACTTTAAATATTCCTTCAAGAAGCCTGGAGAACTATTCCTGGAGACCACACAGAATAAATTACAAGAAAGCTGCTTAAGAGAGTTCAGGCTCTCTTAAGAGAGTTCAGGCTGTTTTATTATAAGTAGGCATATCAAATATTTCTTGTAAAATGTAAACAAATGATTGGTGGCTCAATACTGCATGCTACTGTATCATCACTACAGTTTCAAAAGCCTTTCAAATAAATATCAAAACATTTAGTTAATAACATATTTCTGTTTTTCTAGGTGTTATTGTTATTGTGTGTGCGGGTTCCAGCCTGAACCATGGAACAGTGTGCATGTGTGGAGCGGGAGCTGGAGAAGGTGCTCCATCGCTTTGTAATGTACGGCCACCAGTCTGAGGAGAGGCTAGATGAACTCCTGCGCAGCGTCTGTGAGATACGAGGACAGCTAGTTGCTTTTGGTAAGATCATGTATCAATGATTGAAATTGTATGGAAGGTTTGTGGTCTCTCTGTGCTCCATCTTCTCTGGTTTGGCACATTAAACCTTTACCTTTTTTCTCCAACAGGAGTACAAGATGCAGATTTATCGGTCCTATCACAGACTATGGCGCAGTGTTGTAAAAATATCAAAGAAACAGTGCAGATGCTAGCCTCTCGACACAAGGACATCCACGGCAGTGTGTCTAAAGTTGGCAAAGCCATCGACAGGGTGAGGAACGGCTACAGGTTTCTCTTCAACTTTCCTTGAAAATGTTTTAGAACATGTACGTCACCTCTGGCATGCTTTTCTGTAGAATTTCGATGCAGAGATCAGTGCTGTTGTGGCAGAGACCGTGTGGGACTCCCCAGAGAGACAGAAATACCTGAGTGAATCCATTGTGGAACACCTTTACAGACAAGGGATGCTTAGTGTAGCAGAAGACCTTTGTCAGGTAAAGAGCTGAAACCTCCAACCTTTATTTTTTATTTATCTATTTATTGCAAAATATTTGCCTGAATAGCTTTGATGTGATTCTTTATGAAATGCTGATGAGTGAAGAAATAGTTTTGGCTGAAATGTTGTGTTAATGCTGTTTTTGTGAAGATAAGTCTTAGAAATTCTTAAAAGTAGTTTTATTTTCTAGGAGTCTGGTGTAGTTATAGACATGAGCATGAAGCAGCCTTTCCTGGAGCTAAACAGGATCCTTGAAGCTCTGAGGATGCAGGACCTTAGGCCAGCACTAGAGTATGTGGTCTTTCTGTATCTATTGTTCTAATTATCTGTTTCCTTCTAACACAACTGATAACTCTTTAGTTGAGGAGTGTTTACGTTCAGTAGCTGAGTGTTTCTTCCGTGTCTTTGCAGGTGGGCTGTGACGAATCGGCAGCGTCTTCTGGACCTGAACAGCAGTTTAGAGTTCAAGTTGCACCGCTTGTACTTCATCAGCTTGCTCAGTGGAGGAATCAGCAACCAAATGGAGGCCTTGCAGTATGCCAGGCACTTCCAGCCCTTTGCTTCACAGCACCAGAGAGGTAAGCATTATAGTATCTCCATGTAACAAGAATTTAGATATTTTCTTTTTCTTTTTGTGTGTGTGTGTGTATTTTCACCACTTTTATTTATTCATTTTTGCAGACATCCAGATTCTGATGGGCAGCTTGGTGTACCTGCGTCATGGCATTGAAAACTCACCGTACCGCAGCTTGCTGGAGACAAATCAGTGGGCTGAGATCTGCAACATCTTCACCCGGGATGCCTGCGCTTTGCTGGGCCTCTCTGTAGAATCGCCACTAAGTGTTAGGTTAGGAAAAACATGAACAGTGAACTAGATCACCTGTCATCAAGTTTAACACTGGAAGTGGAACAGTTTTTAGTAATTATTAGACATTTGTCATCTTTATGCTGTTTTATCAACAATGCCATATCTGTTTCTCTGCAGTTTTGCATCTGGATGTATGGCCTTGCCTGTGCTGATGAACATCAAGCAGGTGATAGAGCAGAGACAGTGCAGTGGAGTGTGGACACACAAAGACGAGCTGCCTGTAAGTCTTTTTAGAGTTTTTAAAATGCAGTTATCCCTCCTCAGAATAATTTCTGAGCCGTTAGCTCACTCGTGTCCTGTCTGTACCTGACAGATTGAAATTGACCTCGGGAAGAAGTGCTGGTACCACTCTGTGTTCGCCTGCCCAATTCTTCGACAGCAAACGTCAGAGAGCAATCCTCCCATGAAGCTCATCTGTGGACACGTCATCTCCAGAGATGCTCTCAACAAACTAACCAATGCTGGGAAGTAAGTCAGCAAAAAAGGAATTTATCTATTTTGGAAGTTGGTGTTGGTTTGAAAGCACTTTTACTATTTTCCAGGATCAAAATGTTCAGTTTTACTAGTCACCCAGATGCAAAGAAATGAAGACTTATAAGTTACATGCTGAGTCTGATGTTGACTGTAATTTCAGTCACTGCTTTCCCAAAAGATTTATTCCTGAACAAAATTATAATTGCAGTTAGAAAATAAAATTCAAGTTGTTCACTGAAAGATACAAATGTAGGATAAAAGAATTCAAAGATGGTAACACCTTGACTCTTGTCCTCCTCAGGTTGAAATGCCCGTACTGCCCCATGGAGCAGAATCCGTCACATGCCAAGCAGATCTACTTTTGATACGCTACTCTCTCCTCATCAAGGATGAAGTTGCCTGGAGCTGTTTGCGTCTTCAGGACCTTTTGCTCTGACCCTTTTCCTCTGTCCCTGGCCTTCTGGCCTGTTATGGTAAGCATTAAGGTTTTTTTCCCCAGTGCTCCTCTGGACTGCCTTGGGCATCCCGTCACCCACCTCGGACCCTCTAACTTTGCATAATATAAGGAGTCCAGAAAGGGATGGTCCATTGACAAACCTGTAGTAGAGTGAGGAGTCAGTCGGTAATGGGAACATCCTCACGAAGCAGCACCTATGAGAAAGGATCATCTATTGGAAGTCATTTGCAAATACCTGCAGAGTTATACGCTTATCTTTTTCAAGTATGTAATACTTGCTAGTGTTTGCTTTCTTGGCTTTATCAACTTAATTTGAGTTTGATGACTGCTTTTTTTTTTTCTTTTTATTTTGTTGGACAAAAGCAGAATGATAATGAATGGGTGTAGAGTGTGGGTACATGGTGTAGATAAGCAGTTTCTGATTTCAGGTTGGTAATAAACTTCCGTTATACATGAAAGCAACACGCTGAGTTACAAACTATTGAAGGTGTATTATTTGCTGGTGGGGGGAAACTGAAGGTCTCTCTCGAGCCGAACTCTGATTGTGATCCATTAGTCCTCCATAGTGTAATAAAGTCCTCACGTAGCTTAAAACTCACTGTCAGCTGATGCATCTGTTCAGATCAGATTATCCATCGACGGTGGGAACAGCTTTTCTTTTGTGTATGACCACACCAGCAAAACTTTCCTCATTATAGAAGCCATTTGTCTTGTTCTATGTATGTATTTAACAAATACTGAAAAAGCAAACAAAAAAAATATATATATATCTATATATACTACTGTGAAATGTGTTTTGTTCCTGTTTTCTTTTGTTTTGTTTTTTTAATCACAATCACTGCAGTGGCTTGTGTAAAATAGTAAACAGAAGAGCAACAGGCACATTTAACACTACTACTGCGTAACTTTGAGATCTGACGGCTCCACAGTTCACATCACGGCTGCGCCATCGCTTTACTGTGCCCCCTTGTCGTATGTCCTGAGCTTGCACGCCATGTGATTTGGAGATGTAAATTGGTGTGATGGTAGCCGCATGGTCTGGCTTGCAGTGACTGTAGGCTTGTGGTTAAGCTTTACTTTTTGTGGATACAGAAGCCCTCTGGTCACTGTGGCTGTTGTTTAATATATAGAAAACGCCTCTGCTGCGTAGGGTTGGCTTTTATTTGAGATAGAGTCCGAATAAGTGACATTTAAAAAACCCCTACATTTCCTCAGGGCTCATTGTAACAGTTCATACCACACTTTGCATTTAGTATTAAAGTTGTACATTTATAAAAGGAGTCTTGAACAAAGATTATACATCTATAGATGCAGATTGCTTTGAAGGTTGTGGAACGTGTGTGTGTGTGTGTGTGTGTGTGTGTGTGTGTGTGTGTGCGGATATACAGTCAATTTCTGCAGTCTCACAACATCCAAGGCAGTGTTTACCATGTTTAGATGTTAATAGTGCAAGTTTCTAGTGATGTCACCTCGCACATTACCGAGGCTTTTTTTTTTTCTCTCAGCAAGCACTGCACCAGCATTACTCAGCTTTAGGTTTGATTTTGAATCAGTTCGGCTTTGTGTGGAGTTTCCTCTCCGCTTTCCTCCTCTTTGGTTGACAATCATTCTCTGCTTCTTTGACTGTCCCTGCAGATAGACCCCTAGCGCTTCGTACTACATGTATTAACTTTTTTTTTTAAATTTTTTTTGTAGCTGAATGTGTGTGTTTCCTGCTTTTGTGTTATGCGACTTTTATTGTAAATATTTATCCTCTAACATGTTTCATATACTTGCATCTGAAATTAAAATAAAAATTTATACTCCAGTTGGTTTATGGAGGCTTGTACTGGGACTTGGTGATGGACTGCTCCTACCACACGGGGAGGGATTTGTGTAGCTACCACTTGGTGGCACTAGTGTCAATCTAAATAGCGTTTATGTGTTTGAGAAAACAGATTTGTATTCCAGTTTCACAGCTAGAAATGTTATCTTCTGAAATAATTCACTAATATTTAACCAGCACATTAATTTATTAGATAAACTGTGGTGCTGCCTTGCAGCGCTGCAGTACTCCCACAGACTGACAGCATGTGAGAGGTAAGAATCTTTCCTCATCCCACTTCAGTAAATCAATCAGCCTCTCTGGAGCTGCACGGTTATATTAAGCCTTAGTTTATATAATGTTTTAAATGCCAAGGTAAGGGCCTGTGAGTCAGCTGCAGCTCGTATCTATTCAGATTATCACCCTGCATTATGGACTTACATGTGCTCTGCCTTTTTCTCACTTTTGTGTTTCCATTGCACATTTTTTTTTCCACCTGGAAAACAGTCAGGTGTTAAACCTTCATTCCTGCCAACATTTTCTTGGCATTCAGTTCAGGCTTGTGCATTTGTTGGTTTCTACAGAGGCACCCCCCCACCCCACCAATCAGGGATCCTCCTATGTTTCCATCTGAGCTGACCTTCCACCTCTTTCCTGTCTGTACTGCAGGCGATGGTATGTGAGGGCTGGCTGAGGTAGAACAGGGAGGGCCTCAGGGAGAGGGTGAGATAAGGATCCAAGGATAAACCCCTAAAAGCCATATTAGTCCCAAAAGCCTGCACAACTCTGTCATAAAGCTCCTATCAGTGGGCTTTATTGGTATACTCTCTGTGGATTTTAAGCCCCTTCAAAGCAGGCAGGTCAAGTCCTTGAGCAAATACCATCAGTCACCCTTCTAACGTTTTCTCAAGTGATTTCTAGCCGTTCAGTTTGGGCTACGCTGTATAGAAAAGGGTTATTGTAACACTTTTTTGCAGCCCAGATTTACAAAAAGGGATCTGAGCTGATTTTGCTCTTCTTCAGGAATAATTCACAAACAGAAAACAAATCTTTATACTGTACAGTTTTATTTCCAGTAAATAGATGTGAATCACAGTATGCGGAAAAGGTCAAATGAGAGCTGGTTTTTGAATGTTTATAATATCAATAATAACAATACCAGAGGACATATTTTCACCACGGGCATGCATTTGATGTTATGTGCTGGGTTTGTGCAACAAATCGCACCAAATAAGCATGGCAATCATAAATGCATCTACCGATTGATTTTGTTAAAGTATGCATATTTAAGACGACAGTGCTCTTGAAGTACCATGGCAAATAAAAATTACAGTTATGTACAAAATACATATTTATATATAAACCTCACCTGTCTGGAAACTGAAGGAAGTAAGGTGAGTATTTCCAGTTTACTATGCACCGTTTTCTCTGCCTTGGCACCATTCTTCATAATTAACCCGAAGAAGCTGTTTGCTCCAAAGGTCCAGGTGAACCCTGAATTTATAGATAGTCTGCAAACACTGAAGAGGCTGTGAGATGTTAACTACTGTATAATCCAAGGGTCCCCAATCCCAGTCCACAAGGCCCAGTGTCCCTGCAGGTTTTAGATCTCACCCTGGGTCAACACACCTGAATCACATGATTAGTTCATTACCACACCTCTGGAGAACTTCGGTACATGTTGAGGAGGTAATTTATCCATGTAATCAGCTGTGATGGATCGAGGACACATCTAAAACCTGCAGGGCCCTTGTGGACTTGGATTGGAGACCCCTGGTATAATCGGTCAGGCTCAACCCAAATCAACACAAAGCAGTCACAATCATCATGTCAATTTTCTCATTTACAGGTTTATCAATAACAAGAAGTCTTAAGTTGGACCGTTTAGGTGCTTGGCTGTATTTTTTCTTTTTACAGCGTTAACGTAACAAGGATAGAGGAACCTCAATATCACTTGGCTCTGTGTGAGGTTGGGGGTCCAGCTTTAGCAGGAAAAGGGTTTTAATTAAACAAGGGTGGAGTGGAAGAGATGGAAGAAGGGTGAGCAGTCTGTGGAAGTCCTTCTGTACCATGAAAAGAAGAAAAAATCAAAGAAAAGCTAATTGTGCTAAAAATAAATACTCTTCAGTAAGTCCAGGTTCACTTACTTAATTTGGGATAATAGATATAAAGTTTGATGTGATAATTAAAAAAATGTAGCACATTAAAGTTTGACCTATTTTTGTCTTTTTTATGGTCATCACTTGGAGTAGCGTATGATAGCGTATGATGCTTGTTTTTGGACTGAATGTTTGGTATCACATGTTTTTGGACTTACGGTTCAAGTCAAGAATTGGATTACACACAAAGTATAAAATCTGACTAATAATTTTACAGTTTTGACTTGTTAAATCAAAATTTTTAATCATTTATCCTTTATTTTGACACAAGTCTTTTAGTTTTTATTATTATTATTATTATTATTATTATTATCATCATCAGTAAATATTTGCTTGTTATCTCACAATTCTTTACAGCAACATCAATTCATTAGATTTTTTTTCCCTTGTCCTGGTAGATATGGTCTTCCATAGACACACTTTGCATTGCAAACAAGTAGGTCACAGTCAAATTTCCGATGATTCGATCCGCTCTATCCACGGCAGACCAGGGGAAGGTGTGTCCTCTTGTTTGTCACCTGCTCTCTCTTTCCTAAGCTCTGGCGCTTCTTTTTCCAAAGTGCCATCTCCGCTTCCTCCGCCTGCTCCTCCACCTTGTTGCTCTCTGCTTGCCCTCAGCTGTTGCGCTTCCCTTTCGAGCGCTTCGTTGCGGTGGTACATGTCTAAGTAGCTGGCCTGCAGCTCCTTCTGGTAGCGGATGACCTTGTCCTTTTCCATCTGCCACGTGTGCCTCTCTTCCTCGAAAGCCATGGCCTGGGCCTCGCTCTGGCGTCGCTCCAGCAGCAGTTCTGCGCGCAGACGCTCCTCTGTGGGGCCCCCGCACCCTCCTGCAGAGAAAGTGGTTCACATGGCTTCAGCTAGAGCCATCAGGGGAGGGGAGGGGGGGGGCTATGATGAAAAACACTGGCTGATTTTAAATTCCTGCCCCGGTTACTCAAACGACCTGATTTTTGGGTTGACACATTGAAATGTCAGAACTGAAAATAAGCCAATCATCTGTCTGAGACGACTCGCTTAGTTTAATTTTAAAAACACATCTGTGGCCTACAAACACTGTGGTGTGAAACAGCTGCTGTGCCCAAAAGTGCAACTAACCCAAATATATGAAGACATGAGAGATGTAACTCTACCTATCGCCCGAGCAGATGGATTCTCTTCAGCTTCTTTTTCGTCTTCGTGTGCGGCCTGAGAAGGTCGTCTGTGACGCTGTGTCCCCTGCAGGACAAGCTTTAAAGCATCTATCTGGCGTTCCCTGTTGCGCAGCTCTGTTCGCGTCTCCCTGAGCTCTGTCTTCACCTGGAAGATCTCACTCAGCTTCTGAGTTACCTCTGCCTGGGAGTCCCTCAGCTGCTGCTTCAACAAGGAGATCTCCCCCGACTTCTGGCAAACCTGAGAGGGAGAGAGTCAAAGGGAAATGAAGGAGGCTAGGGGTCGCCATGATTCAAAAAGGACAAACAAGGAATCCAGATATCTTGTCTCTTCCCTGTAGTTACTTTTATGTGCTTCTCCCTGCCATGAACTGTGACTGCCCTGGCCTTCCACCGCCTCACCTCCCATTGTGTCTCCTCCAGAGTCGGACTGGTTTGCCTGGGCACTGCTCCAGCCTCCCGGCACATTTCCTTTCTCATACCGTCGAGCTCCTCTTGCAGCCGGTTCTTCTCCTGCTGGACCTTAAACAGCTGCAACTGCAGGCTGCGCTGGGAACGCTGGGCATGCTGGGAAACCTGACGCAGTTTAGCAGCATACAGGCGCTTCAGCTCCTCCACCTCCTTCTCCCACAGACGCTGCTTCCCTTCAAACACCTGAATGTGGTGGAGGAGATGAAAAGGTCAGATGTTAAAGGGTGATGAAGACGGGTGCGTAGACTGATTCTGAAGAAGAAGATGATTAGAGTCACCTGTGCGATGGCGCCCTCGCTCTCATCCAGGTTTCTCTTCATTTGCTTGAGTTCATGCTCTTTCTCCACCAGGCGCTCCTCCAGATCCCGCACCTGGAAAAGACAACAGCATGAAGCATTTAGGAATCTTTAAATCACACCCACCACTCATCCCCCTCAGCACTCACCACCTCCTCCACAGACAGGGAGAGCGTCCATTCATAAGGAGGTGGAGCCTCCGCGCTATATGGAGCAATACGGCTCAGAGTAGCCATGCTTCGACATGCCATCTCCCCAATAGGCACGCCCCCTGACCCCACAGCCTTCATTCCCAGAGAGGTGCGGTCCAGGGAGCCGATGGTATTGATGTGGCCCATAGATGCACTATTTAAAAAAAAAAAAAGAAGAAAAAAGAAAAGAATCCACAAAGGCCATTAAAATCTCTTCTATTATCACAACCCACACAGTCATTAACCATAAAAAAAAATCAAATATAGCAACACTGCTTTTCAGCTCAAAGTATAGTTAAGACTAATACTGCAGCAGACCTGATGTGAGACAGGTGTGGGCGGAAGGGAGGTCGGTACGGCGGCAGGCTGCTCATGGAGTTATGGCCCGAGTCTGACAGGTTGTCATCTTCCTGGCCCATCCCACACACCGAGGAGAGGGCCTACACAGTCATAATTATACAGCTGTTCATCAGTGTAGCATTAATGAGCTGAAAAAAGTTTAATTTTAGCCATAAATAATGGATGGAAATGAATTTTATAATAAGTCGCGCATAGTTAATTGTTGTGCACCTATGATCTCGCTCCCCCGGCTCGCAACTCGCAGCTTTCCGCCAAGATTAACAAAGGTAAACGAGATAATAATAACAGGATGGATGAAGGTTGTAGCGTTAGCTCACCTTGTTGCCGGCTGACGTCGGTCCTCCGTGACGTGACGGTGAGGAAGAAGAAGACGAGGTGGAGACTGCTTTGGGAACATGGGCGTACGCTCTGTGCAAGCCGTTAGAGAGGCCATGATCCACGTCCTCTGATTTGGAAGACGGGTAGAGGTTTTGCATTGAGCTAAAATTCTTGGGGGTCACAGGCTTAAAGGCCGAAGACCTCAAACGTGCCTAAAGGAGAGGAAGCAAGATAGTAGCGAGAGGTGGCAAGGCTACGAAACATGAATCACGATGTCTCTTTTAAATTAATAGCGTTGATTAATTCAAGCAGGGAAATAAAGGTGATATTTGATTGGTGCAATAAATTCAGAGCAGGTTGTCAATCTGTGCCAGTGAGGTGGAAGATGTTTACAGCTAGGTAACAACGCCATGGGGGTATTTCACCATGCTGCCAGTGATGTATAAATGTGATATGGATCAATTTACCACAGCCCTAGAAGTATTTCACTGACTGTAAATCATTTCTAAAAAGGAAACAATGGGAAGTCATTCATCTGCATTTGTGCAGATCTGTGCAGAACTCCTCATATTTACTGTTGTATTGACCGTTGTAGAGAATGCTATAGGTAGATTTACTCAAAATATTGAGTTTTTTCTTATATTTACTGAGTCTCCTTGGTCATGAAGTTAACATTTTTACTCTTACATTTAAAGTTTTAGTTGTATTTTGCAGCCATGTAATAAACTTGCTGAAAATGAGAATATCCTCCTTTGAGTTTCTTTGATACATCAAGAAATAAAACTTCTGAACGGATCTATTCGCAGTACTTTAAAGAAACATATTCACCTTTTCGTACTTGCCCGCGCTTGGCAGTGAGTTCTTTGTAAGATCTACCTCAGTGCCATCCTTATGGTAAACCTTAGCATAAACGTTATCCTCCTCCCGTGCACTGACAGCGCTGAGGCCCGGGATAATATCCTTCTTGCCGTCGTTGCTCGGGCTCGCTTTAGGCTCTTTTCTGTTTGGAAGCAAAGTAAGCCTGCTTAGGTCAAGTTCTATCATTTTTATACCACCTTGCAGACTTTTTCGCCTTCAAAAACCTGATGTTTCGAATTCCTACGAGGGAACTTTTTCCTCATCAGAACCCACCTGTTGATGTTGAGGTAGTTGAGCAGCTCTCTCTGGGTGAAGCCTTTCTTCAAGAGCCCGTTGCTGTGTTTCGGTCTCACCTGGGGCACTGCTCGGTTGCCTTTAGTCGGAGAAACATCCGGCCTCTCCACCAGACTGCCTACACTTCCCATGCCGCAACGCGGGGACAGGGGCGGGGCTGGGCAGGGGTCGCGGAAGTTTTTGCTGGGGCCACGAGTCAAAGGAAGAGTCTGGACCGAGGTTGCCATTGATTACAGGTCACAGTGGGGAGAGAAGGTGCTCTGTAAAAAAGAGAAAAACAAAGAATTAGTTAATTTGATGTTTGTCCATAGCGTTTTCACTGTGGCCTCAAATGCTTTGTTGACCTAGAGTGTCAGAGTTTTGTCATTCTTTAGTAGATAAACTGATCACAAATATTGCTAGTGGTAAATTTTATACATGTCAAACTATAGAAAAGGAGTCTGTGACTGTGGTAGCAGCTCTGCAGAGCTGCAAAGTCGAGCTTCCACTGTCATGCCAATAGGCTGATGTTTACCACCAGCACTGTAGAAGGCATGCATTTACAAGGCATCTTTTGCATTGCGATGCAAATGCATGCAAACCAAAACACTGGGAGTAAATAGGAAGTAGAGGTCAGAGAATGAGTCACTGGATTAATACAATAGAAACCGCAGGGGTGGCTGTAGCTCAGGGGGCAGAGCAGGTCGGAAGGTTGGTGGTTTGATTCCTGGCTTCCCTTTGTCTGCATGCCAAATATCCTTGGGCAAGATACTAACCTAAAATACTTGTGGATATAATTTCGATGATATCATGTACTGTTGATAATGACATATTCATGGTCTTTGCAATTTCATGTTGAGGAACATTATAATGAATTTGATAAACTATTTGTAGACCCAGTTTTGTGCAGACTTGTGAATACTCTTTTTTATGCCCAGTCATGTTAATGAACTGCTGCCAGTTAACCTAATTAGTTATAAAAGTGTTCCTCCAGCTTTTTTTCTTTTTAGTACCACTTGTTTTTCCATCTTTTAACTGCCCATGTTCCAATATTGGGGGGAATTGGGGTTGTAATAAATGTGCCAATCCATTTATAATGTCCTGACATATTTTACTGGAAAGATTCACATCCAGTATTTTTTTAGATTTTCACTGTGGACCAAAATGTTGGAGCGACTGACACTGGCTTTTCTCCTTTGCTGAAATAAACCCCACCTCTTGCCCCTCTTACTACTGTTAGTGGATGTTAATCCTCTGAGGACGCGGTTGAGCTGACATGCGTTTCATCAGCTGTGTTTGTCTGTACCGACAGCTGTCCAACAGCACAGCTAGAACAACGCAGCCTCCCACTGCAGCCGAGCACAGCACCGCACTAGAAAACAAACTCGTAAAAGCTGAGCTCAATGCGCGTTAGACAACAGCAATGAAACCGAAATGATGTCAAAAGCGGGCAAATCCCCAAACGTGTTATCACGGTTATCTTTCTATCTCTGAGGCTTGAGTTATGCTTCCCCACAGGGAAAAGACCACAGGATTATGTGAAACGTGTACCCTGTCAGGGTAATGCTGTTTTCCTCTGAGGTCAGACAGCATATGTCCCATCGTAAGCCTGTTATGCAACTCTGATCCAGCTAGGTTACTACAACTCATTTCCTTAAAAAAGGCAGAGTGAGGTGCTTTTTGGTTGACAATGCACATTATGGAAAATCAAGTCCTGTGGCAGCTCATTTTCTTTGCAAATTCTCCTACCTTTCATGAAAGCCTGTCACACCGTGTGTTGTTTTATGACACTAGATTTACTGTTGGAAATACACTCATTTGCATTATCTGTTGCCAAAACGAAACAAGCTGTTAAATCACCAGAATACCCAAGTAAGAGGCCTGATTACTCTGTCAGCGTGTTCACCATACAGCCTCCCTCTCACTGCCGGCATATCCGCTCCTTTCCTTCTTTTCAGCAACCTCATTAAGGATCACTATTGATTTCACCCTTTTGACCCTCTCTCTTCCTGTGCATAAACACCCCCAGCAGCCATAAAACGTTCTCGAGACCATAAAACATGCAAGTGCGCCTCTGCCTTTCCGACTATAAACAGGACCCGAGGGAGGAGGGGGTTCCCTTCATGTTCAGCCAACTGATGTGGCACCTAAAGAACAGTTAGACTTCAAAGAGGCCATATAGGGACCTTTTACTTGTTTAGCCCATTTATAACCAATCTTGAATACTTAGCATCGGTCCTGACCACACTTACATGTCAGCAACTATTTGTATTTACATTATACATTAACAGACAGCCTGGGTGGAGGGGGGGGTGATAAAATTGCCTTCTTTGTGCAATTTGTCACTATTTGAGACGCAGCTGCCAAAAAACACTCTAAGGTAAAAGTATGCCAGCATGAGACTGAACCTGACAGAGTAAGCTTCTCTAAGAGAAGTGTGGGTATTTGATTATTTCTCTCCCAGGATGCTGCTTAGCAGGTGACTCATAAATCTCACAAGAGTCCCTAAAAGCATTGTAAAATTAGAGTTTTCTTGCTCCTACTGAAGCCTGAGTTAGTAAGAGCAATAATGGGAAAATAAGCAAAGACTAGTCAGTGGAACTGACTGCTAATCAGCAGCACATTTCCAGTTATGCAACAGCAAAATGCCATCAGTCAACACTATGTGCATTACTATGTGCATTACTTAGCAGGCACAAGCATGAAGAAACAGCCTGTACTTATTAAAGAGAAACTGCATGTGCAATTTCCATTTATAATGTTGTGTTGCTTAACGATTTAAATGAATCTTGAAATTAGAAAAAAAAAGTCAGCATGCCAGGCAGGAATATATTGGAGATCAGACCTAGGATCATCCCAGCTGATGACTGGGCCTTCCAGCTGTCGATTCACGCTCGTGACATACTCGCATCCTTATTTTATTCTTACTTTCTACCACATTTGAGAACAGACACCCACAGTGGCACTCCGGCATTTCCTCTCGCTTCTAATACAATCCACATTTATCAAGTGTTTTGCACCGCTGGCCTCGACAGTTATGGCAATTATGCAAATGGTTAAAATGGGCAGAGAGAGCTGTGCAAAGGCAGCTCCAGCCCACTCCATTCGGGGCTCTCAGCCAGGCCCAGATCAAAGCAGACCAAGCTACTCATGTTTATATTCATGAGATACTACCCCCCCCGAAAAGTTAAAAAACAAAACAAAATTTCCACTAAAACATCCGCTTCCTAATAAGCCGATATAACATGCTGAGCTCAGGCTGAGGAAAGACACCCGATAATCACTGATAATGAATATCAGACGCTTTGTTAACAAGTCTGCTTCTCTGCTGCTGTCCATCTGAGACCTGGGTCAGAGAGTGACATGAACTATGTGAGTCAGCCTAAATGAGTGTGTGTGTTTGACACCAAATGAATAAATCATGAGTGTGCCAAACCTAATGGGCACTGGTCAAGGTCTGACTCAGTATTTTTAGCCCGACTACTTTACTCGGCACGTGCCTTCTATCTACCAAATATACGAGAGCCCAATCGATTCTTGATGGGAAGCCGAGCTCGGGGTGAGGGGGTGGGCGAGGCAATGCTATTCCTTTTGGGTAGATAAGAGGATAAAAATCCTTTCAGCAGGCAACCACAAGTCTTGAAGGACGGAAGAAATCTTGCATCCAGTTGTTTTCCATAATTGCTTTCTAGTTTATGGGCCAGAGAAAACTGGGAGACAAGGCCAGATTTACAGCCCAGCCCCGACTAGCCAAAGGGGCCCTGAAATGCAACACTCCCCCTTAAATCGCACACGTGCGTGCGTGCACATCAAAGCAGCACCTTCAATCAGCCTTGAACAGTTATAGTCCGATTCAAAGTAGTCTGCTCTTGATTTATGCTTCCTTTAAAGCAGCGATCAGCTTTTTTTTTTAAACCTTTTTTTTTAAATTCAAGCCTTGTGAAGATAACAGATGCTTCTTATGCTTTACACTTTCACATGCACACGCATTCTTCTGATGTGTTTCTTTGCAAGACATGCACAGGGGCTATGTTTTGCTAGCACCACTTGTCAACTTTGTTGTACAGAGCTGACCATCACGTCCTGTCTTCAAACAACACCATAATTGCAATTTCCAAAATTAGAAAATATTTGTCAGGAAACACATACTTCACACATCTTGCTAAACGAAAAAAAAACCCTGCATGCGCCTTTCTCCGTGTCCTCTAGAAAACCATACCCTTACCACTTTACTGCAGTCACAAAGAAAACAAAACACGCCTTGAAGAAGAGCACTTCAAGGACGATCCCTCCTGAGATCTTGTAATCAGACCTCCTGTATGCTTTTCAATGAAATGCTCGAGTTTGAAGAGGGAACATTTCAAACCCTTACAACGGGTCTCCGACAGAGGAGAGAATCGCGGTGCAGCCAAATTCCAAAGATGCTTAGCAGAACACAAGCTCGGGCTCGTCAGTGTTTGATGCACTAAAGGCTCACTCCCACGGACATTCACTCACACTTGTGTGTGCGCCGGTCACTCAGCGCACTCCCGAAAAAAAAAGAAAAGAAAGAAAGGCATGTGCACAACTCGCAGATCCTCTGCCCTCTTCCCTCGACACTCACTCTCTCGCTCCCCTGCTCACCATCAAAGTTTGTTTACATTTGTGGGGTAAGTTTTACAGGTTACATCTAAAACTCCCACACAGCACGCACTCTCTGTTTCATTATATAAGCTCTATCAAAGCTGCACTCGCTAGATTTTCTGTCAGTTGTGGAAAATGCAGCTGCTACCATTAGGCCGAGTTCTTTTATTCTACAGAGAATTCTGCAACTATATTTAACACCTACTCTGACAGCCTGTCCTGAGGGACACTTCCCATCAAAAAATAAGGCCGTGACAGCATCCTGTGGTAGTCATGATGCACAGTGCAAACACCTTATAGGAGTTGCTGAGCACGGTGGTGGAGATGTGATTATTTTGGCTCGTTTTGCAGTTGTTGAACTGACCACGAATGCCTCTGTATACCAAAGCATTCTGAAGTCAGATATGAGGCCATCTGTCTGAAGCTTGACTAAAATTGGGTCATGGTACAGGATAGTGATCCAGGCATGGCAGCAGATCTACAACAGAATGACTGAAAAAGAGCGTGTCGCAAAGGCCCAGCCAAAAGTCCAGTGTTCAACCTGCCTGAAATGCTGTGGTGGGACCTTCAGAGAGCAGTGCACAAATAAATTCCTGCACATGATAATAATCTGAAACAACATCCGAAAGAAGAGTGAGAGACTGATAAAGTCACACAT